TTAACTACAGCCCACCAATAGATCATCTGATCACCAAGCTGGAATTCGATGAAGAATATCCTTCTCCTAATAGCACACTTCATGGTGCATGTCCTTATCCCAGAAAAGTGCGACCTTCAACCCCTTATTATTTCATGAGCAGTTCAATTTAAATGGCAGTCGTTTGCATCTGGTTAGCCTAGTCTAAACGTTTATCTCTTTTATTGTTTGTAGATCAGCCTTTTTTTAAAGTGCGGGATATTTTGTGATTTGTTCATCAAGTCTCCCATGGCAAATGGCGCTCGAGATCATAGAGAACCCGACATCGGGAATTGATTTTAAAGTATTCACTGTATCTTAAATATTGGATGCCTGGAGCTCATATTTCCACTGTAAGATAACAAATCAAGACCACATTATTCATTCGTTTTTTTGTTTTTATTTTGTTTTGTTTTGTTTTGTTTTTTGGGTTTTTTTTATGAATGTCAAATATTATAGATAATGTTAGCCTTTAAGCCTTTAATGGAGTTTACTTTATATAGCTTTGTATGAACAACGCATTGTGTGGGTGAACGCAAAAAACAATCAAGGCGATAGAGGATTATCTCGTCGGTTAGAGGTTACACTTAAGTACGCATGGGCACATGTCATTTTGCAAGGTAGAAAACTTAACTGTAGGCGCATTTTGAAATAGATTCGTTTAGACAGCAAAGATAAGCCAGGTTTTAAAACAAAAATAAGCGTATTGTATGGACCAGAAACCTGGCGTGACTTCATCAAAACCATCTAGAAATCAAAGTCCGTCAAATGATGCGCAATTGTCCAAGAAACAAGTGTGCCAAATTTCATGTCTGTCGTACTTGAAATGGTTGAGTATTAGGCTTTTTTTTTTCGAAGAGCGTAGCCCGAAGAAGAACATCAATAAGATGAGTTTGGGGACCACTTCCTGACCAAAAACGCCTTCTCAAAATCAGGTCAGAGTCCTGGTGATGTTCATCGTGGCGCAAATATACACCTCAATTTTAGCGAAAATATCACCCTTACCTTGCACCTGCATTTGACATGCACACCCCCTTTCAGGCCATAAAATTGAAATTGGAAAGTTAAATTGAAAAAGAAAAATACGGAAATACGCGTGCAACCTTTGACGTTACTCAAGAAGACAGCCCTTAGTCGTCAGGCTGCCATTCAGTGACACCCACTCATTTTTGTCCTGTGTGCGCTCCATGGGTGTTTTTCAAGGAATCCAGTATTTTTCTAGTAAGATTGGGTGTCGCTACTTTCCATACCGAAAATGACATACTTTTATTGGAAATAACTCCCCGATAAATACTGTTATGGGAAAGTATTTTTAAGGTCTATATTGCCTCCGTGTTCGCGTTCTGGTAGTCTCGGTCATCCAGAACCTCCTAGTCTTCATACTTTTCTAGATTATAGAGACTAGTGTTCTGGTAATATCAAGCAGATATAAACAAACAACCCAACCTCTAGTCTTTGAGAAATCATCCCGGGTAGGCGTTGTATAGTATGCAGCTTAATCTTATAACTTATTATAAATTGGATGGTGTATTATAATTAATGTTAGTATAATATAGTCATAAAATATAAACACATGCTAAATAGAATATAATTGTCGGGATCATTTTATCATCATATTGATATTACGTATTTTATTCAACAATCTCCATACGCGATAGCACAAAAATAAATGTGCTATTTCAAAGAACTCAACGTTTGGGAGTTTTATAAGTTGCGAATCTTCCACCCGAATCTGAAGTAAGCTATTAATAAGAGGACTCTACCCAAATCCCATATAACAATATGAATCCAATTTAAAGGACCATCTCTAGTAGTTCCTTTAAGAGCGGTCTCTGATCAGAAGTTGTCCTCTGGTCGTTACTATTCATCCCTATTAAGCTGCAATATGAAAATACCGCACTACCCCACTCTGTTCTAAGGCTGTTTTGGAATATTTACCATCAATTTATTTTTATTTTTTTAAAGGAATCATTTCCCGACACATCCGACACAAATTTATAATAATTCAACACTATTTTCAAGTAGAATTTTGCGATTAAAAAAAGCAAGAGGTCTGAGCATCGTAATGGCGGGTCAGTTCAAACGCATTTTGGTTATGTTTTTAATCGCAAAATTTTACTGGAAAATAGTTTTGAATTATTAAAACTTTGTGTAATATGTGGCAAGAAATGACCCTTATGGCCACCAAAGAAGAATCACGGTGAAAAATGGAAGGCAAAGATTCCAAAATAGCCTTAGTTAGAACAGAGATGAGGGTAATAGGGATTGAATAGGAACGGTCAGAGGATAGGTCCGACCAGAGACCGTTCTAATTATATCTCTAGTTACAGTCTGGTCATTCTTTATTTTGTATCTCAAATGACAAACTCTGAACATTTGAGATCTTAAGATTATTTAAAGGGACCGCCTTCCATGATAAACGACAAATAAGGCCACGCACAAAGGTACTGCTACCAAAATAGATAATGGTCTAAAGTTATAGATTTCCATGATATTAACTACCCTACAATTTTTGTTTCAATCTTCGAAAAGTTTTGTTTGAAACAGCACTCTTTAAAAACGGGATTGGCATAGCCGAAAAAAAATAATGGCGGAATTATTATATATTGTGTATAGGTCGGCATGTAAAATCAATAGAAACCAAAGTAAACTTAACTAAAAATTTATCGATTTGAACTAAAATGTAAATTTCAATAAATGTACTTTTGATTGCATTTGGTCTTTCAAACTCTATGTTATTCATTCTACATGCTTTGACTGACGTTTACGTAAACAAAATTAATTAATATTTATTAGTATTTCGTCATGCTGTCTTTTTAATTACAGAGATATCACGAGCAATGAGTTAATAATATTTTTCTATCATTGAAATAACGGAATAGTTGAAACCAATCCACACGTAAAATCACGGTAACAGTACAGATAAAAATCACGGTAATGTGTACGTGGGATCATGTTTTTGTTGACTATATGTTTTAAATGATGTGCACACTCCCTGTACCTTATCAGCTTTTGCTCCGGCCGATTTCTATCTAACGAGAATTTGATGAATCATCAATATCGTGACTACGCTCTAAATTAGAAACGCAACACCATAAAGCATCTAGAATGCATTAAGAAATAAGAGACTCGTCCGATTCCAAATTAATTCTAGTTTAATGAGGAGGCTTTACGACTGCCAATATCACATAACGTTATGGATTGAAATGGAAGGCGATTAAACGCTGCAATAATAACACATAACTAATTAAATTTCTATCTCATTGTCACTGATAACAGGTATAATATTAAAACAATTCCTGCTACAGTATGATAACTAATATTTATATTTATATGATTTCAGTTTCCTTCCTTTAACGTGCATTGTTGGAGCTTTTGACGTTAAACTTTCTTTCATATACTGAACGACAAATTATACGAAATTCCCCTATTTAAATACATATACTTATATTTTTTGTGGATATTGTGTGTGTAAGGGATCATCAATCAATTTCAGATTTTGATAGAGAAATAGTAAGCATACCCAGAATTATGCAAAGTGTAAACATTTAAGCATTTATAATGTCAAAACGTTTAATTAAAACATAATGACAATATTTTTAATTATAACATTATGTAAGAATATTTAATTATAACATTATACCGAAACTTTTAATTATATCATAAAGTAAAAATATTTAATTATAACAATATGTCAAAATATTTAATTATAACAGTATGTCAAGATAGGTTGTCAGGCAACGAAACATACGCTCATGGCAGCTAAATCGTCCGGAGGTCGACAAGGGTTCTCGCATATTTATTCTTTTGTAGGTAACTGGGGCCATTTACATACAATTTTATACAGATCAGATTATAATTTTTGTCGTTTGAGGTTTCACAAGGTTCTACAAACTGAAACAGGGTCCTTAATTCTGGAAGTAATTTACAGAAAATTTTGAAATTTGACAGGCTTTTTCGTTTTACTAATTTAAATAATGCATATAAAGTTCATACAGATCGGGTGATAACTTTTGTCCTTCGAACGTTCACAAGGTTCACAAAGTAAAACAAGGACCAGAACTCTAGAAATAATTGACGGAAATTGCTGAAATTCAATAGTCCTCCGTTTCACGAATTTAAATGATGCATATAAATTTCATACAGATCGGATGATAACTTTTGTCATTCGAACGCTCACAATGTTCACAAAGTAAAACAAGGGCCATAACTCTAGAAAAAATTGACGGAAATTGTTGAAATTGAATAGGCCTCCGTTTCACAAATTTAAATGATACATATAAATTTCAGACAGACCGGATGATAACTTTTGTCATTCAAACGTTCACAAGGTTCACAAAGTAAAACCAGGGCCATAACTCTAGAAATAATTGACGGAAATTGTTGAAATTCAATAGGCCTCCGTTTCACAAATTTAAATGATGCATATAAATTTCATACATATCGGATGATAACTTTTGTCATTCGAACGTTGACATGGTTCACATAGTAAAAAAAGGGTCATAACTCTAGAAATAATTGACGGAAATTGTTGAAATTCAATAGGCCTCCGTTTCACAAATTTAAATGCTGCAAATAAATTTCATACAGATCGGATGATTACTTTTGGTGTTAGAGCCATAACATCGATACATTTAATCATAACATTAATACATTTAAATTATAACATTGTTTCAAAACGTTTAATTATAACATTGTTTCAAAACGTTTAATTATAACATTGTTTCAAAACGTTTTATTATAACATTATGTCAAATTTTAAAATGTGAAAGTATTTAATTATAACATTATTTAAAATCATTTAACCAAAACTAACCTCATGTCAAAACATTTAAAGGTAACATTATGTCAAAGCATTATTAATCAAAAGAACATAATATAAGGCAGGTCCTGTATTTCCCGACTGTCGATTTCTATTCCAATATGTTGTGCGGTTGAATCCTTTCAACATTAAGAGTTTAACGTGATTAAAATATACTTACTGCCAGAATGGTTATCCCTGCATTGTAAACGCAATAAACATTTACGTGTTATCTGTACAAGACGGAAACTATTATTTATAACTTCCTCGCTGTACAATTCCTTAGTCATTTCCGATTAAGTCGATGATATCAAGATCTCACGAAAATATAAATCGAACAGATTGCTATTGAAATATCAAGATCGCACAGAAGTTGTTAACTATTCACACTTGCTGTCTCCTTGGGAATAACGGCATCTTGAAAATGGTCAATACAATACATAATTTTCAATACACTATTAAATAGTTTCTACTATTAGCCATTCTAAGTTGGCAAGTTTAGAAATGGTGACAGAAATAATCCCAAGGGTGTATGTACGCTTTGTGTATGATTACAATTCCGTGTCCTGAGGTTCCCGAGTTTCTATACACAGAAACACTTGATCTGTAGATCTGCTTAAGTTTATAACAGAGAGAGAAACTATTTAATGTACTGATAACCTCGTGGTGTAAATTATTAAGAACGACTCGTTATTGTTATTATAATAATCAATAGATCATTCATTAAATAGCATTTAATATCAAGTCACAGCAGTAGTTTGTTTACAAGTGTGAAGTCTGGGCGTTCGTCTAAATACATACAATAGCTTATATACTATAGAATACGTAAGTGAACGAATCATTAGTTAAATTTCAAAACGTGAAATTTTAATCCGTCCTTCGACAATTATAGGAGTGCCTAGTAAAAGTATACTATATAGATATATTTTACTTATAATGTCCAATGGGTACTTCTTTACGTGATGTATTCAATATGGTGAATGACCACTCCTCCAATGACTACGCAAATAAATAAGTGAAAATTGCTTAATTGTGCTTCATGAATAGACTTCTCACTATACAAGTATAACATTTATAGTATGTGTTAATCGCCTTCACAAGGCATAAATTCGTGCTTTTCATGCGGTTTGTCAAGATGTGTTACAAACTTTTCATAATTTGAAATCATCGCTTGATGTTATCTAGTTCCATAAAACGTCTTAAGTCTTAACGGTGCCATATTTAGCTTTAAATATTGCCGCTTCATAATGCCACAGGCACTTGAAGGGATTAAAATAAAACTTCTTACTATTGCTGGACTATATGGACACAGATCACTAAAGATTTCCCCATTGACTCCAATGTTAATTCTCGTATCTTAGACCGGCTCTAACTTTTTCCCAAATTTTCGTTGGGTAGAACGCTTTCTACCACAGATGGAGCAACATGTGGCAACCACTTGCCCAAAAGCACGTATGCGGTTCTTCATGAAAAACTTGAGATACACAAGCTGGAAGTAGAGACAAATAAACATGCAATTTCAGGCCCTACATTTCAACCTAACCAACCTCTCAACTCTTGTATCCTTCCGCATCAAAATTATGAATATTCACCAAAACCTGGCAGAAAATGTATTTTCAAACCCTTTTCCTCGATTCTACACCAAAAAGTCAACAAAAATCGCCATGCAAAAGGGGGAAAAAGGAAAAGGGAGAGGAAGACTAAAAATAGCTTTGGCCCTTGTTTCGTGATCTGTGTCCATATACTACAGTAATAACGTGTATCAGCCACCACCTTGTTTTGACTCGTTGACGACATTTCGTATGCTATTATCTGACAATACTGACTAGTTATAACACTTCCCGTCGTTTTTATTGCCAACGAGACTCTATTCGATCATTGTGTAGCTTCCGAGGTAATTAAATTGGTCATTTTACAGTGTTATTAATTACAAATTAAACCTGAAGCGATATCACTTGGCAATTAGAAACTTCACCGGACCGGAAGTAACACGCTACGCCCATGTGGGGGATATGGGTTGTTTTATGAAACAGGGGTATGTTATAGAGGATGACATCCTCGATATCCCCAGTGGTCTCATACCGTTCCACTCCACTAAACCCTGGGTTCATCCGTGGATGGGACACGTATTCAAATTATCTGCCTTTGATGTTTGTACTATTTTTATCGACCAATCGAAAAAATCGTTAAATACATAAGGACTGATATAAAAACATCTTTCACATCGAAAAGATGTTTTAGGGCATCTTTTTTTGTGTGCAGGTCACTTCTTTTATATTAAATTTCTTGCAAACTTTCTCATAATCGAACGAACAAGCCGCCATATTGTTGTGAACGTAAACAATGGGGCTAAAACGCCGGGCCGCAAGTACTCTTTTCTCCAGTTTATTGCGGCCCCTGGACCCTTGCCTATAAGGACCTAGGATGGAAGCCCCCCCCCCCCCCAATCAAGAATTGCTTCCGCCGGCCCTGGCTAAGACTGGTTTGTAAACTGTTTGATTGTTTCTTAGAACCAATCTACCATCAAGGACAGATGATTTGAATACGTGCATACTCCATGGATCAAACCAAAGTATAGTGGAGTAGAACGGGGATACCGAAGATGCGATGATGGTGGCTGTTGCGAGGGGCGAAAGTTCATTTGCGACAGTGATTCTAGAGTACAGTGCTGTGTTGTGATGAAGGGCGTTGCTGGTTTATGGAGGGGGTGGTTGTTTTGGTGGTGGACGATGCATTTTGGGTAACAAACGTTATTTTATGAAGGACGGGGGTTGTTTTATGAACGGCTGGGCACTTTGTTGTCGGATACTTTAGGTTGCATGATATTCAAATATGTTGACTTATAGACTACAACCCCAATTTCATTTGTTTATCCACAGATTTGGACAACGAAATCCTTGGTTCCAGTTTCTATCTAAAACCCACAGGAAAGAACTCTAAATCTTATCTACGACGAGGTAATTTTTTAAAATTTCCAGGGGACGACACCCCCCCCCCCCACCCCACATCGTTGCATGAAATACTCATACTGATCCACGCACAGGTTGACTGTCGCACACCCTAGTCGAAAAGGAAATCAGAGAAATACCAGCCACATTAAATCGATCACCAGCACCATTGACTGGTTCCCCGTCCCAGTGAATGAAAGTAACCCAGCAGCGATTGGAAATCACATCGGATATCACACATTACTTTTGTTTCTTGCATTTATGAGGGCGGCTGCTAAACCTGTCCAGCACACCTCTAGCGCTATCTGGATAAAATTAGAACATCATAGAATACAATTAAACGTTTGATACTGTCAACATAAACGAAATATTGCGTTCGCAACCCCATTCCATTAATATACGAGTATATATGCTTGCTTTAGAATTCACATAATGTATAACACAACGAAATTTCGTATTCCAATACAGACAATTCGATATTGGTCAATACGTTGATGTGATCTGAATGTCAGATGTCAATGCACTTTCACCACACAAAATAATAAAACGAAACGCGTGATTGATATGCTGTACGTTTCATTGATTGTGGTGTAGTGCATTGTCACTTGATTTCAATCAGATAGAGTTATCGTTACTACGTTAAGCTAACCTTAATTTTGGAGTTTAAAAATGGGAAAAAAGTAATATCAAATATCCTACCGTCATATCAGTACACATCTCAATCGCTCTATACGTATATGAAGTATATAATAAAAAACCTTAATAAATGACCACGTTCACCTAATTTCCAATCCAGATATTTCTTATTAATTACTCTTATTTCCAAAGCATATGTTTAACATACTTACAGAAAATAAAGGACTTGGCGATTCTTCTAGAAGTGGTTCATTCATTCATTATTCCTAAATGGTGTTCGTCTATTTTCTCACACACACCTTTATCAGATTACTTTTAAGGCTCAAGTACCCTACTTATATACCAACAACAAAAAATATTTAGGGTTCTGTAGAGACTAGTTGATAAAATATGCCTTTTTATCCCGATATACGGCCCCCGTGTCGTAAAAAATGGGACAATTGAATAACATTAATAAATAATATTTATACCATGTAAGTTACGAACTATTGTTATGACAATTGCTGTATTCAATTACCAGTTCAATAAACCAGTCAGCCATAGGGTTAAATGGAGAATATTGTAATACAGCCTCATAGGACGCCGCGTTCTATAAAGATTTATTGAAAAAATGGCAGTCATTCCTTCTCCAGAGATAAAAGAACAACGAAATGAAAGAATGTCGGCTTGGAAAAGAAGCTAATATTATAAAAGTGTAAATATACCAGGCGAATGAAAAATCAGTTATGGGCGATGTGTGAAGCACAAATATATATTATATTTTCATATAGCTAAGGTCCCATTAACAGAACAAGGTCCCATTTATGTGTGAAGTCGTGTTTTTATCTGTTGAATTTAGCGCTAGAGATAATAACACTGTTATACTGAAAACAAGCGGACAAAATAGCCCAGCATTAAAAGATTGCATTGACGAGCTATGACTGTAAGAATAATTATGTATCCCTACTACACGCCCACATAGCAGCTTTGTCTCGAAACATGTGTAGCCTCTACCACAGAAGTTCGCGGAACATCGACAAGGTTCGCCCTTTCGTGACCACAATGCTTCAAATAAATCCATACAAATCGGTAGCCTCTATCGCATTCACAACATTTACAACAAGTTTTATGACATGGAGACAGCTATTATACATATAACGTAAAATCAAGGGCCATAACTTTAAAATATATTTAACTAATTATCCCGAAGAGAAATACATCTTTGTCGGGTCATAAAGCAACTTTTCTGAAACAAACAACTAACTGTATCGGTTTAAAGCAACTGAGGGGATTCGATTAACTATAACTTTACCAGACACGTTGCCAGATACTCTTGCTTCCATTCCCAACAGACAGGGAGTAGTTAACGGTATACATGCGTCCTCGGGTTTCGGTCCCATCCTAACGACGACTAGACGCCATTCCTTGCGTCCTGTGCCACTGCAAAATCTTGCAATGCCAAAGCCGGGATAGAATCAAGTTTTAACTTTCTGATAAACGACCAATTAATGAGAATGTGTTTGAAACTAGAAACGTATGCCATTGCGTGTTATACCCACCCTTTATGTGACGAAATTGCACTGCATAGGTTACCCATGTTTTTTTTTTGGGGGGGGGGTATAAACAATATTTTTATTCAGGATGTCTGAATGGGATTGGGGAACAGGCTTAGCCCCCGACCCTCACCTTTTGCATCTAGGCCAGGGATGGGCCCGGGGCCGGGGGCTTCCCAGTCTGGCCCAGCGGTTGTCAGGCAAGATACGCCCACATTTTGCAAGAGATGGATAGAGAACAAGCTAAAAAAAAAGCGATTTTTCGTACTATCAGGGGCCAAAACCCAGGAAGGTTTGCTCCGAAATGTGCGAATATCGAAATCGACTGAGATCTTTGGGATTTAAAGATATACATGTATTTTAAGTTTCATCAAAATCGGATAAAACTTGTGACCTCTAGAGGTTCCACAACTTTCGTATATACATACCTTTAC